ACTAGGCTATGGTAAGAAATGTTTAAATTGGGGCACGTGGCTGGCTTAGTCTGTGGAGCATGCAACTCTTGATCTCAGGTTGTGAGTTTGAGCCCCACATTAGGGGTAGAGTTTACTTAAAAAAATGTTTAAATTATTGCAAGAAGCCATACAATAAGGAGTAAAAACCATGATATGAGTCAGGATTGTGCCACTATTATTAAAAAGAGGACAACTTCACTATGATGTTAGATGGTATTAAGAGGAGGATGACATTCCTCTCCCTGGATGTCCTTCCTCCCCAACCATCCAGACCCCATAATCTTTGAAGGCACTCACAAAGCTGTCCTGTATCCCCAGAGCTGGATTTAATCTTACCTCCTTTGAATGCCCAGAGCACGTCACACCTGAACTGTGGCTGTTTATATACTTGTCTCCTTTCCTTAAGGACTAGAAGCTCTTTGAGGACAGACTCTCTGACTAATTCATTTTTGTATCACTCAGTGTCATACTAATGACCCTCAGTAAATCTTTAATGAATGAACTGGAACAGAATTCCCCACTATGTTAGAAATCTGAGTCTATGTGGCTCCAGAGCCTCAGAGATAAGCAAAATAATTGGAACGGGCTCAGAATAGAATAATGAAACAAAAATGATTAAAGAGTGAGAGAAACAGAATCTATATTGGGGGGAAGAGAGGTCAAAGGAATTCAGCCTAGAGAAGTGAGCTTTAGAAAGTGACATCAAGGGATCTTCAAATATATTAAAGAGATAATTAAAAGAAGGCCCGAAATTCTTTTATTGGAGCAAAACAAAAAAATTACTCAGATGTTAATGAGGCAATATGGATAAGGCCTGCTGAAGAACTTCCAGAGTATAGACACTAGGGTGCTGTGACGTATGGGAGAGGTCAACGCCGTGCCTCTATGCCTGCAGTAAGAAAGCATTTAATGATGAGAAAGACTCTGGTAAGTTGTTTTTGCAAAATTACTTGTGAAACAATTGTAAGCTTTCAAGTTTTAGGATTTTTTTTTTTTTCTAAGATGCTGAAACCTGTTTTAAAGGAGAAGGGGGATTTAGTCCAGGAAGGAATGGGAGAGACTCAAGTCTGGGATTTGGAAAGTAAAATGGGACCAACCCACAGAGAGAGACAGCCTTTGATGTCCTGATGATCAAGGACCAGGGCTTAAGGACCAGACTCTTAAATCACGTGGCATTTACTGCCCCAGATTAAAAAAAAAATACTTTTGTGGATCAGTGTCTATGGTTCAAAATGGCTAGCTTCCAAAATCAGTCTTAACTTTCCAAGGGTAACATTTGGAAGTCTCCCTGCAAGAACAGAGTGGAGCCAGTTTCTAGAAAGGGCAGCTTAATGATTTTCCACTTCCCCCACCCCCAAATCATTAAGCAGTGTTCCTTTCCCAGAGCCCAAGTTCATGCTGAGGGCAAAGGGAATTAAACGAAGAAGCTGAACCTGCAGCTAAGATTAGAGAGTTGCCAAGGACCTAATTTTAGGTCCTCGCTGCCCCAGCTGACATTCTGCGCTGCCGGCTCAGACACGAGGACCACAAGTGTGGCTGCGAGCCGGTGACGGAGAGGGGAGAGCATCCCCCTGGCCATCTGCAGAAGCAATTAGCTTGCTGTTGGGTGTGTTTTGAGAGAGACTACCAATAGTTTCTCCATCAACAAATGTTTCTTCAGGTGTTCAAGAGTCAATAAGGGACCATGTCAGCGCTTGGCAGAAGTTCCCACATGCTTGCCGTTCTAATAGTCATGCTTCTCCGCGTAAGAGTATGCTCCAAAAGGGGGCGAATCTTGGAAACCCCGAATTTGCATGGCGAGTAACCACCTGCTTTCCTCCGGCCATGAGCTTATTGCCACAACCCAGGGAAAGTCTCAGCTTTGGCGAAATAGACATGGGTAGATGGGACGGATTCTTGCACGTTGTGGGGAATTTCTTGGGATTTAGGCCATCCCTCCACTCTTCACATATCTCCCAGCCACAGGTTTCATGCTCAGATTGTCTTCTTTGGAGGGCAGACAATAAGAGCTGGCATCTCCCAGATCAAAGGGGAAACAGAATATATTTTAAAGTGACAACTCTGTTATCCTTGCAACGAGAATAAAGCCAGAAGAATAAAATGATATAAATATAAGCTCCTAAATGCTTCCACACTGAAATGCCACCAGAGAGCAAAATTTCCTGCATAATTATGGCAGGGAAACTCTCTTTACAAACCACTCACAAGAGCCTGTCTTATTTTTGCACAATTCTTATGCTTAGGGCAGCCCACCACGGAGACGGAGATTCTGTGTCCCTGCAGGTTGGGAACTGTGATAACCGTCTGGTGCTCTCTGTCTGCAAAGGAGGCTCTTAATAAAGGCTAATTGGCCCGGGCAATGAAAAGTAGGCTGGCACTGCCAGGCCAAGGGCGTGCATCCCTCCGTCGACGTGTCCTTGGTAAGGGCCACTGTTGGCAAGGTGCGCAAGCAACTGGCCCCAGCCGCTCTCTCGCTTCCTCTTTCTCTCCTATTTTCCTGGTAGCTTTGCTTTCCCTGTCTACTTGTCCCACGTCCTCTCTGTCGGTCGGTCTCTAAGCCTACTTCTGCACCCCCTCCCACATGCACACACACACCCAGTCCTGCCACCCCCTTCCCTGTCTCTTGGCGCTGGCCCTTTCATCTTCTCCCTCGGGGATTCGAGATGTCGCTGCAGGAAGTGCTTGTCGGCCGTGGCAGTAGCAGCAGAGCCCCGTGGCTTTGACAAACCTCATTTAATTGGGAGGAAGCCAGGAGAATTTGAAAGAACTGAAACATCCACGAAACTCCTTTTATCAGGCATAATTTAAACTCTGCATGGAAAAACCCCTATATGTATAAAGAAAAGTCAACTTCCCTCCTGCTGTGAGCACTCCTCGGCTCCCCCCCAGCGCAGGCAGGCTCCTGCAAGATTCCATCTTTTCATTTTTCTAAAAGTGTCAAAGTAGATTTGGGCTCTGTGGCTGGGTGAACAGAGAAGGAATACAGATGGGTCTCTCTCTTACACCCACACATGGGCGTGCGTGCTCGTGCGTGAACGCGCGCACACACACACACACACACACAGCCCCTCAGTTGGTGGCTCTGCTTCAGATGGCCAGGAAGAATCAAAACCCAAGTCTCTAACAACACATTAGTTTGGACAGTGGCTGTTTCTTGCCAATTCCTTTTTATCAGGTCAAAGCTTGTGTCCAGGACATTTTCAAGGTCCCCAGTGGTTCTCAGTATGTGGAATAATAGATCCTGGAGGAGGGCCAGTGAGGGAGGTCTCGTTAAGTGGAGAGAAGGGAGGGTGAGTGTGTAAGCATGTGAGTGTGAGTGTGCATGTGTGCGTGCCTCCTGAATGCGTATGTTTGCCTGGAGTGGTGCTTAGACGTCCTAGGCCCAAGAGAAGAAAGCTGAAGAGGGACCTAGGGGCTCAGACTGGGAACAGTATATTGGGGTGGGAGTAGGGGAGAGCACGGGGGTACAGTGGGAGTTGAGGTACTGGAAAGGGAGTAAGAATTGTAGGTTGCCTGGGATATCTTTTGTTCCACCCATGTGCCAAATAGTGCTCCTCGGCTCCTTCCAAATTCCAACCCGGATTCACCTCCAGTCCAAACTCTCAGTTGCGTTATTCTAGTTCCTCCAAAGAACTGCCCTTAGCACACGCATATTCTCTCAACATCTGTAGCTGATTATGCACAGACTTTAGCTGTTTAGATATGATTTGTGCTAATATGTGTACAAGGGTGCCCTGTTTCCTCTTCCTCACCCCCTTTTCCTCCCACGCCATAGGATCCTTGAGGTCAAGGACAAGCCTCTTTTTTCCCTCAATTTTTATAGCACTTAATATGTTCTTGACACTTAATGGCAACTTAATAAATCCTGATGACTAACTCTTCCTACAGGGTTAAGTAAGACATTAACCCCAGTTGTATGATTATGGTTATTTTTGGAGAGCCTAAATAACTCATTTTAATAATAAAATGCCTCAAGAAGTCCCAAACTCAGAGCTTTGGGCTGTGGCAGGACAATGTCCTAGATACAGTGGAGTCACATTTGCAGACCCTGAAGGCTTTGGCCAGACTGTTTGTCTAGGCCTCTTAGGCAGCAGCTCCCCACTCTATCCTCATTGTCACCCCACATGCCATCCCAGGGCCCTCTTCCCAGTCCGAGCCCCTACACCTTCCTTATTAGCTTTCTTTTCTCCTGCTTAGGGCTTCTAAAACTTGTTTTCAGTTGCATGGTGACTTTTTCCAAAGAAACCCCACCTAAGGATGGTCCCCCTCAAACAGCCAAGCCATGACCACACTGCCCACATCCTCTGCCTAGCCCTTCCTGGCCACATTCTGAGAAACATGAGGAGAGCTCCAGCCACATGATCCCTCAGCAGATTTCAGATTTGGAGGATGACTTCAGGCCCAGGCAGCAAGGCTGATTTCAGGGTAACTTGTGTTTCCCCGTGGGCGTCGGGCCTGGGAGGACGTGCCCCTCCCCCCAGCGCCCCACCGGGCACTTCCCTCAGCAGCATCAAATTACCAATCAAGACAGGCCCGCCCTCCTCTTGTGACATCTCCATGTTACCTATCATCTTACTCTCTCTCTCTCTCTCTCTCTCTCTCTCTCTCTCTCTCTCGAAGGGGGTTGTTGCAAACTTTGGTTTTGCTTCTCCTGACAGATGCTAGGGAAAACAAACAACTCAGAGGCAACTTTCATCTCATCCAGTTTCTAAGAGTGTCCATGTGAAATGTTTGGATTGTTACAAGGAGGTCTGTGTCACCTCAACCCACCAGTGTTTCTGAGTTTTAGGGACTCTCATAGAAAACTCAGGCAAGATTGGGTCTCCTCATGCTTCTCCCAGGTAAATCGATTCCTAAGCTCATTTCTGGTTGCAAATACTATGATTCCCCAGTACTCGGAGAAAACACTTAGCCCCTGAGACTTACATGTATGCATGTACACACACACACACACACACACACACAGGTCCCTCACTCACCATCGGGGAGCTGGTGCAGCTGAGATGGCAAGGCACTGAAATAGTCATGAACCAGGGCCTCCTGGGCAGAGACGCGGTCTCTAGGAAAGCCTCTCAGCATTTGGGAGGCCAGGTCTTCAGCTTCAGGAACCCTGCCCAACCTGGAAAAATGGAAGAGAAAAATAGTTTCTCCAAAGGCCTCCCTTCTGAAAAATAAAGGGCAGAAGAAGAAAAGTAGAGAGAAGGAGATGGCTAGAAGAGCTTCAAGTAGGATCTTCCTGGGATGAGCCAAGTTGATGGCAAGTGGAAAAATACCATGCCCCCCAACCCACTGGAACTCTTAGCTATCCTCAGTATGCTCTCCTTCAGCCTCCACCTCCCCATGGGCTCCGGGTACCATGTATACATACATAAAGGACCCAGAAATATAATTACAGAAGCAGAAATGTGTAACTAAGGATACTGCCTTGAGGGACAATGCCCACCAAGCAGAAAAGCCCAACTGGATATATGGTCCCAGGGCTGCAAGCGTAGCATCCTGGAGGAGAGGGAGGGAAAGAGGTAATTTTGGAGGGTGAAGCTTGGGTGGAATACACCCTTATTTACAGTGTTTCTGCAGCTCAGCCCCCAGGGCATTACCTAAGAAGCTCTCTTGGTCCCCCCTGAAATGGAGCGTAGAAAGAGAGATAGCTAAGTGCCCAGGTTACAGTAAGGACAAATCCTCAAGTTGACCTGTGTTGAACTGTAAATTTGGAGATGAGCAAATCTATTAGTTGAACAATGACCATGTGCTGGTAGGTGGTTGGCTCGGGAAGACACAGGGAAGACTCTGCCTTCTGGCAGCTTAGTCTAGGGGAGGAGTCGGACACTAACCAAATTATCATAGAGACTCATAAGTACGTGTGCAGAAAAGTCCCAGATATCTGACTCAGAGTGGGAAGAGCTGGTCAGGGAAGGCTTCCCTGAGGAAGAAGCATTTGAGCTGAGTGCTGAGGGCGGGGGAGAGGCAGGTAGTACACCATACAGACCCCGGGGATGAGGGGAGAAGAGCGAGTTTAAGGAGAAGAGGAAAGGCCAGGTGGCTGGCCTGGGACCAAGGGGGAGAGGGGACAGATATGAAGCTGGAAGGGTGGCAGGGGCTGATCCTGCAGGACTTGTGAGTCTTCATTTTCCTATTTACTTACAACGTTTGAAAGTCTCTGCTAATCTAGTGCCAATCATTTAAATACATCTATCTCTAGAGCCCATAGTCGGGTTTACAAGTGGAAAGCCACGAGACACAAAACTGTGCAGGAGGCAATTAACCACAGGACTGATGTCTGACATTCAGAATTAGGTTGCACGGCCACACAAATCCCCAATTAAGCAAAAATAAATGGGCTTATTTAATGTTGAATATACATACCAACCTAAATCGACAAAGAACTGATACCCTTCCCCTTCCCGGGTGCCATGATGCAGTGATGCTGGAAATCCTGGCCCAGAGATGTAAGTGGCCTAAATTTTGCATAAGATTTACCTAAGAAACTTTCAGGTATCTGATTCCCATGACATAAAACTGTTTCTACAAACAGATAACTTTACCCTCAAACTTAGTGGTCATTGCTTCATAGACTTAAGATAGAGGAAAATTTGCAAATCCCCAGTTCTTGCCAATTTCCAGCTAGTTAAAAGGGAACATGGGGTGGAGGCCTACTCATTAGCTTGCGGCCTGAGAAAAGGCCGGAAGGTATTTTCTCCATCCAGGGTGCCCTGCCCAGGCACAGGTTTTCGGGGCCAATGAAAGGGGGGTTTGGAGTGGGGAAGGTGGTATAGATCACTAGGACCTAGTATCAATCTGGAGGGACATTCATGGAAAATCTTGTGAAAAAAATTTTATCTAGTCCACCCTTGCTATAAGGGGTGGGGTGAACCCACTCTATGAAACTGCAGGGGGGCGGTGGGTGGGTGGGTAGGCGCTGATGGTGGTGGCGGGCGGCAATGCATCTGTCAGCTTTCACCTCCACAATCCTACCCCAATCAATGGTTGGTTCTCTCCACACACTCCTCCCCATTGGCCCACAATAATGGAATCATTACAGAATTGCTCTGTAGACAGGGCTTAGGAGCTGCAATCTCATTGGACAAGGAAGACCAGGGGACCTATTTTGAATCTGTGTTAGCATGGCACACATACTCTTTGTATTTAGCCTATGGTTATGTCGGGTGGCTGGGAAAGCCAGGGAGGGCTGATGGAACTTCTCACGGGGGTAGTAGGGACTCACCTAAGAAGAACTGGCCACTCCCACCAGGCAAATGAAAGAAAGGAGAGTAGGCACTGATCAGCAATATGAAGACTTCTTTTTTAGGACTTTCTTTTTCAACTAACCCAACTCTTCCCTCCAGGTTATATCAAGGTTTTTAATGGTGCCAGCATTCTGTTCCAGTCTCATGGCCTCTAGGCTATGACTGCTACCACCCATTTCTCCTGCTCCTTCCTCCCATGCGCCAAGTGCATGTTGGTCTTCCCTGTATAAACCAAGTCTGTGCCCTCCTGAATATGAGCCTTTACTAGCAGCAGTTAGAGTGGGACCACCCAATCTGGCCAAGAGTCCTGATGATCTCTACCTTGTGATTGGCATATTGCACTCTCATTTGGGAGTTGAGATAAGAGCCCCAGGAATACAAACATTGCTTCTTTGGGCACAGATGCTAATTTACTTCCATGTTTGTATTGTTCTGCTTCTCTCTGCCATCTATAATCTTGCTTACTGTCCACTGCCTTTATCGTCACACTTCTATAATTTGCCACCTCCTCTAACTCTTGCTAGGACGGTTCTTCACTGGTTATAACCACTATTTTGGAAATGAAAGTTGGCATGAAAAGTGACATTAACAAAAGTTAATTTGCCACCAGCACCTTTCCACATAGGCTAGATGTTAATAAATATTATATGTTAGAGGGAAACAAACCATAAGAGACTATTAATGGTAGAGAACAAAATGAGGATTAATGGAGGGAAGTGGATGAGAGATGGGGTAACTGGGTGATGTGGATTAAGGAGGGCACTTGTTATGATGAGCACTGGGTGTTGTATGTAAATGATGAACCACTGAATTCTACTCCTGAAAACAATATTACGCTATCTGTTAACTAACTAGAATTTAAATAAAAATTTGAAAAAAAAGACAAAAAAATATTATGTGTTAGGATTGTGATGTTAAAAAGTAAACACACCAGGAGCATCTTGCAGAATTAGGAGAACCCATCCACCCAATTAACGAGAGTCTGTTAATAAAGACCAAAAAATCTTCTTATGAATCGCTCCTTCTAGTAACATTTCTAGAAGCAAAACGTGTTCCATTGCCGACACAATACATATTTATTGTAGAACACTTACAAAATGCAGAGAAAGAAAATTAAAACTATCCAATCACTCTGAGATAAGCCCCTTCACTCAAAGATGATCACTACTGATTTGATGTTCAGTTTTTCTTCTTTAGTTCTTTAAGTGGATATATTTTTTGTTTTACCAAAAAAAGGGAGATCATACTCTACATGTTGTTATAACGTACTTTTTCCACTTGACTATCTTGATCATCTTTCCGGGACTTTGAACAGTCTTCTAGGATATAATTTTAATAGCTGCATAGCATTCTGTTATGTGGGCATACCATAATTTTCATAGCCAGAACTTTATCAGAGTTGTTTCCTTTTTGTTGGGGGTTGCAAGAGGCTACTATTAAAATCATGCTGTGACATCCTCAGTGAGAAATCTATTTTCTGCACCTGCACAATGATTTCCTTAGTATAAATCCTGAGACTAGAAATCCCCGGGTTGAGGGACATACACCATGTTCAAGTTTTTGATTAAGAATACTAGCCAGTTGTACCAATTTCCACTTCCACCAGCAGTCTAGGAGAGTTCCTGTCTCTGTGTCATGGAAAACAAATTTATTCCAGTAGCCCTGAATTGCCACAGACCTCGTGGCTCATAAAAGTTGCAAAAAGAATTAAAATTGTAAATCAATCCTACAGGAAGTGCTGGGTGTGAGGACATCCACATTTAATTTTAGAAGTCCAGAACAGAAACACAAACAATAAGAAAAAATGAAAATCAGGCGCTGTGGTTGTGTGAAGCTCCATCCACTGGCCATCACTCGACACATCTAAAATCTGGTGGGTTCTCCAGGGCTTGAGGCAGTAACCTTGATTTCCCGGCATAGGCTGGCTCTGAGTATAAAATTCTCCACTGCCATTTACCTTTCCAGTGGAAGGGAGTTATCTGCAGCGCAAGGCTGGTCATCATCAGTTCACCTGGGTTCTTTGTTGTTTTCCCCTAGATCCATAGAAAGAGGAAAAAGGGCAGGGATAGAGTGGGCACTAGTTTTTTCCCCAATTTTTCAATTTGTTTTTATTTTGAAGTAATCTTAGGTTTGCGGGAGAATTGCAGGAATTGTCCCGAGAGTTATATGTTTACCATTTTCCCCTAATGTTAGCATTCTACATAACCATAGTCAAATGATCAAAGCTGAGCAATTAATATTGGCACAACACTGTGAACTAAGCTGCAGGCATTATTCAAATATCACTGTGTTTTTTTTTTTTTCCAATAATGACCTTTTTGTTGTTGTTCCAGGAGAGTGGGTACTTTTTTAACGCTGCCAGTTTAAGACGTGGTAAAGCAGGCACCCACAATAAGAAATATATCCAACGCTAGGAAGAAACAGCATCAAAGAAGCTGTCCATTATCTTCCAATCAATCTGACAAGTGAATGTGCACTTACTAGCCCACGTCAATCGGGTCACCATCAAACCCCAGGCATTGCCCTGAGGTGTATTTATGGCCCACGCACGGTTCTTCTGTACCTTGCAGAAATCTTGTGGAAAAGCCAGCGATACCTCAGCTCCTCTTTATCCATCACTCTTGCAACCCGACTCAGTTGACAAAGTCACAGAGACCTGTGTACCAGATGGATCTGGGCTCCACCTTACTTAGCTTGGTGACTGTGGCCAAGTTACTTCACTTCTTAGAGCTTTAGTGTCCACCTCTTGGAACTAGGACTTTGGTTTGTGAGGAATAAATGAAATAATACATTGCAAACATTGCACCAAGCGTTAGTTCAGCGACAAAGTCCTTCTCGGAGCCAAGAATTTTCTCATGGGATCATCTAGACCAGTGCTGTCCAACAGAACTTTCCATGATGATGAAAATATTCTAGTTCTGTCCCCTCCGACGTGTTAGCCATTACTCGCCTGTGGTTATCGGGCCCTTGAAAGGTGCCTCGTGCAACTGAGCAACTAAATTTAAAATTTAATTTTAATTGCTTTAAATAGCCCCGTGTGGCTAGGGGCTACTGGATCAGGCAGCACGTCTGTAGACATCATCCTCGATTCGAAGGTGTGAGCAAAGAGAAGCCAGAAGTCTGAGCTAAGGCACAGGGGTAGCTGGGACAAGGCAGTGGGCGGAGGTCGCGGCTCTTGTGTGTGGCCAGAGAAGCCAGAGGGATACTCAGGGCATCCAAGTCCTGCTCAGCCCAGGAGGAAGGGCTGGTGCGGTGATAGCAGGAGGCTCTGGCACTTTCTTTGGTCCATGCAACAGCATGCAATACCCAATGGCAGCTGCATAGGGTATTGAGGTGGTTTGCAGGTTGGCAGTTACCGTTTATTTTAGGAGCCAACAGTGAAATGGAAGAAAGCCTGAGAGCAGTGCTAAAATCCAGGTATCTCTAGCTGGGGCTAGGGACCCTGACTGGGCTGGCCAGAGAAAGTTTGCACATCTTGCATGAAAGGGGAAACAGCGGTTCTGGGGAACCTATCTCCAAAACATGGGGGGTGGTTTCAGGCAACACAGTGAGCCTGCAGTTAAGAGCAGAGAGCATAGCCCTCCTGAGGAGACCTGTCCCTCCCAACAAGAGGTCCTTGGTAGCCCGCAGCTCTATGATCTGACCTCTCTGTGCTCTGATATTCACTCTACGTGGAGGCTTTTTTTTAAAGCACGTGAACAGTAAGCATGAAAAAATCAAACAAAATTCGGTTGGGTTAAACCCTACCACATTTTCAGGGAAGAACAACATTCAAACGTTCAGTTAGGATCTCTTCCCCTCTCCCCACCTGCAAGGGTGTGTTTTTCTTTGACATTTGAGCTGTTTCCCCTGTCTCTGACGTTTTCCTCACTGCCCTTTTTGCCTCCTCACTGAAGCAAAAAGAACAGAGCCTCGGCTAATTACTCTCAGATCAAATAATACTGGTTATTGTAATTGGTCATTGTCCGAAAACACTGAGTTCTTCTTAGCCCTGAGGTTGCCTGGCGTGGCTTAGTTAGCTAACTATTCCGGGAATGTCTCTATTATCTGTTTTACTTTGTAAAAGAAACTAGGGATTTGTTGAAAGCTGGTAATAAAAGTCTGCCCTGGTCTGAGCCGAGGCTGCGTGGAGAGGGCCTGGGAAAGCATGACCTCCATGAATCAAGCTGCCCCCCCCTCCAATAGCCACTCAATGATGTTATTTGGTTTCTCTGTGTTGAAGAATAATAAACCCACTAGGTTTTCTTGCAGGCCAACACTCCCTCATTCTCAGGGCCTCAGGCATGGTTGAGGGGTACAAAACCATTTTAATGACCAAACTCACTGAAAGTAAAATGGTTCATAGAGAAAAACTGACACACTCACAGGTGGCTGGCTCTCCTGGAGGCATCTTCCTGGGCCCCATGGCCCCCAGAGATCCAGGTGCTCAGGGGCTGCGTGTTCAGTGGACTGAGGTCCAGGGGGCTAAGGCCCTGCTTTTAAGAGAAGCTTTCCAAGGTGGTGCTTACCTGTTCCAGACATTCTGAAGGCTTTGAGGCTTAGGCAGTGGGAACCATTCTGGAAAGCATACACAGACACATTAAAAACCAGAAAACAACCCTAAAATCCTATTGCCAAAATATTATTAAAATTCTACATGTTCTTCTTGGCTTGGGCAAAGAGAGTTCAAGCATCAGGTAGGCAGAGTGAACACTCTGAATTTTCATGATTCTGTGGGAGGTCACTATTATGGGTTGGATTGTGTCCCCCTAAAACTGATACATCAAGGTACCTCAGAATCTGACCTTATATGGAAATAGGTCATTGCAGTTATAATTAGTTAAGATGAGGTCATGGGCGTGTGCCTTAAACCAATATGACTGGTGTCCTCATGGAAAAAGGGAAAATTTGGACACAGAGACAGACACATCTAAGAGAAATGACACAAAAGGTCCCAAGGAGAAGACAAGCAAAGGAGAGAGGCCCAGAACAGAGGCTTCCCTCAGGGCCCTCAGAACTGAAGCACCCCACCAACACCTCAACTTTAGATCTATCTAGCCTCCAGCACTGTGAGACAACAAATTTCTGTGGCGTAAGCCACTCAGGGTGTGTGGTACTTCGTCACGGCAGCCCTCGCGAGCTAATAGTCACAATATTCACTGAAGTCAACACACATTTAACATCCACTGTGGGCAGAACATGTACCAAGCGCTGGGGAGAATACAAAAGAAACCAAGAGAAACCTCCCCACCCTTGCAGAGCCCACAATTCATCTGAGAACAAAGCATGCATGTGTGCATACAACATGCGTGAACAGTCAGGGGATGAGCGACGGGGCTGTGTCAAAGGCTCAAAAGTGGTAAAAAGGAGTGGGACTAATTTTATATGTCACTTGCAGTAAAAATGGAAGGGAATTCTGGCTTGAATAATCCAAAATGGATGATGATAAGATTTGTCATTTTCTTTGGAACACTCTTTACAACGTTTACATGTGAACACATCTGTTTCTATTACTCGTGGTATTGACACTATTTAACCCAAAATAAAACCACCATAAAAAGGGACGATTTCTCATTCATTCAAGAAGTACTGACTGAAAGCTTACTCTATGTGAGGGTGTTAAGAGGAGCTGCAGGGCTATAAGACGATGCTCCTTATCAGATTCCTCTATTTCCTGCTCCAAATCGAGAAAAGAGTATTTTAACTCTCATTTAAAATGATGTTTCTGCTTTATGCTTTTCTTGGGCCTGAAATGTAAGTGTTTTGTTTTTAAAAGATCTCTTCTTCCAGCTCCTATAGGAATGGAATACACCAATGCTGTTTATCCAACAAAGAATTTAATCCTAGTTGGGCAAAAAATGATTTTTATAATACTGGTATATTCATGTCTGTACATGCATTAAAAAAGACCTGGAAGACTATCCGTCTGATAATGATAATGGTTCTGAGGTTTACCCCTTTACTTCTTTTTTCTTAAATCTATTTAAAAAAAAAAAAAAACCACATTATTTTGTAAAAAAAAAAAACCACATTATTTTGTAACTTCGAAAGTAAGTTCAATTAAAAATAGAACTTATAGGGGCGCCTGGGTGGCTCAGTCGTTAAGCGTCTGCCTTCGGCTCAGGTCATGATCCCAGGGTCCTGGGATCGAGCCCCGCATCGGGCTCCCTGCTCCGTGGGAAGCCTGCTTCTCCCTCTCCCACTCCCCCTGCTTGTGTTCCCTCTCTCACTATCTCTCTCTCTGTCAAATAAATAAAGAAAATCTTTAAAAAAAAATAGAACTTATAGTGCCAAGACTTGTAGAGTGAAGGGAGTGATCAAAGAAAGTGATTTCAGCAGAGTTTTCAAGGTCAGGTGTAATCAAATGAGAACCACTGTTGGCGGTTTCATAGTCCCATGTGGGCACAAAGGGGAGAGCTTGTATATACAGTTTCTTTACTCTCTCTTCAGATGATTGTGCCTAAATTCAAATAATCAGTAAAGATAGATGAGAATATCTGGTATCTGTTTAGAATGTTTATTTCTAAGCCACTTTCTGCTGCCTGTTTACAGTTCCTACCTGGCCAAACAAAATTAAAGTATTTCCTCATTCAGTCATAAACCAATTTCCAGTCAACATAATGAAATCCATTTCAGTGCTCTCCCATGTTTTGTTTTTTCCTTCCTAGAGCCCGTTGCTCTGTGTTTTGGGGGCCTTTAGTATTTTAAAACTATTTCCAACTTTAGCGTTGTTCTTGTGGGACATGGATTTGGAACTGGCTGAGTCGGGGCTTGAACACTGCACCTCGGGTTTGCAACGGCGGCTGCAGCTTCGCTGAGACCTCAAGCAAGGTGGTTTAACCATCACCACCTGTTTCCTTAACCCAAGTTGGAGGTCATATTCGCCTCTCAAGGACAAAGTTATTTGTTGAATTTATTGGGATTTGTGAGATAATGAATGTAAAGTGCCTGCCTCTGAGCGCGAAACAAAATAATCCTATTCTTCCTTTCCTTCCTTTGAGAAGTGGTGGGCAATGGACAGCTCATGCGGTTAGGACCCTGGGGCTGGGTTTTGAGCGCGTAGTGTGGCGCTTACCCGCTGTGTAACCTGGGGGTGTTGCTTGACCCCCCCCCCCCCAGAGCCTCAGTGTATCTCATCCCGTCTACAGAAGGCGGATGATTATAGCTCCTGCTCATTGGGCTCTTGTGAGAATCAGGACGGTAAGGGTAACGTTAGTATTTCCTCACCCTTTGCCTCTTTCTGCCTCTTCTCTGGTCTGATGTACCATGTAGTCCTCTCTCCGCTCAGGTGTTTCTGCCCTGTGGCTCTCCTCCAGTGACTTGCAGTTTCATTGCACTGAAATTCTAACGCGCTCTGAGCTCTAGTTCTTACAAGCTCCACCTGATTTCTCCCGAGTCTTCAGTGTGGGCTGGAGGGGTACTTCTTAGCTGCGTGCTATAGTAACACGAACACGGGCCCAGGTTCAAATCTCCCTTCTGCCACTTGTGAGCTCTGAGATTCGGGGGAAATTAACCTCTCTGGTTTAGTAACTCAGAAGTTGCAAATCTGTAAAATGGGAATGCTTTTCTAGTTGCTTGGGAGGATTAGATAAAATGAAGCACTGGGTATATAGTAGGGGCTCAACAAATGTTAGTCTTAATCCTTTTTCTTTTTTTTTTTCCCTCTTGTTTTCATCTCTCACTTTGAAGAGGCAGCATGGTCTAACACAGGGGTTCTCAAGCCAAGGTGCATATTAGCATCACCTGGGAGAGTTTTGAACGGAAAGGAAGTCTTGGCCCCACCCTGCAGAGTCTGAATGGGTGAGCCTGGGGACAGCCCAGCATTCGTCTGTCATTGTGTTGTCATTATTGTTCTTAATAATCGCCAGATATTTCTGGTGTGGTGCCAAATGAGGCAGAAAGTGCTGGTCTAGCAAGGAGGGTAGGGCCGACCACTCATCAGTGACTTCCACACACTTCTCTAGGGCCCATTGCCTCAAGTGAGCTAGTTGTGAAAATTCAACCAATCAACATATATAAAAATTGCAGAACCGAGTGTCTGATACATACTTATGTTTTCCAGGAGGTGAAAGAGGAGGCATGACAGGGGAAAGATCAGTCCTCAGAAATTCTGCCATAAAGGGTGACCTGTAGGAGTTGTCCCAGGAGGCAGTGTAATGACATTGAACTTGGGGCTCCATGTCTTGCCAGACTGTGTCTTCCCCCATCTGGTTTGTAGCTACGTTAGATCAGATGGAGGGATTGATGGGCCCAGGGCAGAGTCAGGAGGCTGTTTGTGCTTGTTTGTGGTCGGCCCTCCCCCTCTCATGCAGATAACCTGATGCCGGATGACCTTGCCTCTCTCCCATTGATTTTTCCCAGTAGTTAAGCTGCAAGCGATCAATGAGAGAATGATCCATAGATAGGCGGTTCACACAGCACCATTTCAAGAGGTGTTTGTTTCTCTGGCTTCAGGAGCCTCAGAAAGAACAGGGCTCTAGGTAGCTTATTTCCCTTCTCTTTCCAAAAATGATGGTGAATCAACAGACCAAATTTTTCTCCATCTCCTCCTTCTGCCTTTCTTTTTAAAAGAGTTCTCATTTGAATTCAAGTGGAATTTGAGGTAGGAATAGTGAAGTAAGCTGCAAAAGGAAACTTAAAAAGCCGAACATAGTAATTTCCGAACTAAATGGAATAAAATTAAAATGAGGGCAGAAGTGTGGCTCCCATACTAAAATAACGCATTTTTTCATAAGTCTTACTTCATAAGTGAAATAAGAAAGCTCATTTACAACAGATCCAAGTCAACAGAGATTTGCTGGTTGATAAAACATCACCAGAACCATCTTGAGTCTTAGCTCAAGGTAAAACATTTTCTGGTTTCTATAGTCTTACCACCATCACCCTAAGGTTATCTTATAATGCAGCCTACTGAACTACACCTCTGGAATTTCCCAAATACAATGCATTCTTGAGATACCATATATTTAAATAGTTGATAATGTTGTTAGCCTTATTTCACTATCTTAGGCAGTAACTTTAAAACTGCACTGCAAAAATTTGTAGCTCTTCTTCTACTCCCCCCCACTTAACCACACTCAACGCCCTCACAGCCGTGGCCTTCCTCAGTCTTTGGCTCAAGGAGTCTAAGCTTGGCTCTTCTGGTGGTTTACCAGGCTGTAGATTCTTTTTGGCTGCCATCATCAGGATGCTGAAAGCCAGTGCTCTCATGAAGTACGCGCCTTGGCGTTTGAATCTGGCACTCCAACTCACGTTTGTAGCTTATCACTTTTCTAACCCTGCCTCAAAACTTCCTGTGGATTCTAAGAAAATATTCCATCCTCTGAAGCCTCTTTCTAAGGTGATGGTCTCTGCAGAGGAAGGGGAAGCCAGGCCTTGCTCCTGGTGGGTGGAGAAGGTGAAGGGAATGGGCATAATCAGAAATCTCTCGCTTGTCTCCTGGGGGCAGGGGGTGGGGGGGTACCATGGTTAACAATCTGTCCACCCCCACAAAGGATGTTTGAACTACAGCTTTTTTTTTTTTTTAAGATTTTATGAAGTAATCTCTTCACCCAACGTGGGGCTCGAACTTACAACCC